GATCGCCATTGAACGATGCGCGTTCATCGAAAGTGTTGCTACGTTTTAAATGGAAATAATAATGCTTATGTCAGAAAAACGTTTTACAGTTTTTAGGACGAACGAACAAACGTTTGTGAGCTTACGACAAAGCCGGAACCTTTCTGTGTTACTCAACGAAAATTACTTTAACATAAATGATTTTGTCAAATGATTATTAGGTTTCTCATTTGGAATTGAACATTTTTCCTTTTTATTGGTTATTGCTTTGCTTCGATTATTATGGAAATTATTTGTAAACGATAGAGTATTTTTGTGAAGAAACTTTTTGACAAAGATCGATTGTTAATAATTATTAATAACAATAAATTACGTTCTATAATTTATTAATCGTATTTGGAATCCTTTTACTTCGTTGTTAGGAAAAATAAAAAAAAAACAAACAAAAATTATTTCATTCAAAATACAAATTGACGGAATGAAAAAATGAACTCGATACAGATATTTCTGACCAAATATATTATTAAAATATTCGACTAATCGTCAATGCAATTATAAAAATAAGTCGTTTGCCAATGGGTTTCGTGTCGTCGTGCCTTAATTCACTTTAAACGATTCGCACGAAATGCGACTGAAGACGAGTTGAAGTATTATATATAGATAACACTCGTTACAGTGTGTGTGTGTCGTATATATCGTATATACCGTAAACCATGGCGTGATTTTAATCCATTTTGCAACGTCGTTCGATACACTGAATCATTTCGTTTTCCTACGTAAACCTGATTCTCATTAAATGCATTTATAATATCACCGTATAACTAATCCCAAGTATTTTTCCCCTATTTTACAATTCTTCCTTACACACTTACCAATTTCTTAAGAAAAATTCATCAAACATTCTCGTCCAAGTTTTTTCCAACCCTGACGAACAAAATACAATTACACGATGCAACTATAAAATGTTATTCGTGATATTCATTCGTAAGATTGAAAAATGACAAGTTGGGTGTTTCCTTTGAAAATCCAAGTAAAATCATTTTTGATTCCTTCTTCCTGAGAACTAGTGAGAAGAGGTGAGTTAGTTTAATCGGTTAATACGCTTCTTGCAAACTTCTCCGGTGCAGTTTCGAAGTGCATAGTTGTTCGAGGTCAAACGGTCGCTCGGCCAATCGTCGTCGCCCTCGGGATTTAGGTCGAACTATGCTTGCGGCCAAACTCCACGTTGCTTTGATTCTAAAGACTCGATTAGGTACTTTTAGAAGGAAACAAAACAAATCATTTAGGAATTAGGGGTTGCTTGCAGTTCATTAATATACGTTTCTTCAATTTTTAATTATGCTTTTTAATTTTAATTACACGATCAACAAAAACTTAATAAAATTAATTTTAATTCTATTACCTCTTTAAAGATTTCAAGTAATACTTCAACGAATAATTAATTACTAAAATAAACTTAGCTTTCGTAAAACATTAATATGAATATCGATTGACGTGATATAAATATTAATTTTCCCTTTTTATTGAAATATTATGCACAATGTGTCAGATAATTGCACTTCATCAAGCTATTCTTGTAACAACTGAAAGAAACGGAAATGAAGATCCTATTCGTTACGACATCATGCGATTCTCTTTTTAAAAAGAGAAAGTTTAACCCATTGTCTCGTGTGAAATCGATGACTTTTTCTTCCTATTATTATTCTTTTAACACTTTTTCTTTTCCCTTTTTTTTTTTTAATTCTAAATAGTAATTACCGTGTAGAGAAATTATATATTTGGTTTATATAATTTATATTGTACAATATATTATAATTCAATGTTTCACATTATCTTTTTACAACTTTCAGTGTATTTTTTTAATGCACCAATTTATATATTTTTGTTTTTGTTGAGTACTTACGTATAGATTTGTTCCCGAATTTTTTCAGAAAAAAAAAACAAATCAGAAACGCGGGTGTGTATTGAATATTCGTTGATATTGATTCAAGAAAACCTTGAGAATAATTAAGTAGAAAAATAGAAGAAAAATATATGATACTTAACGCATAATGATCTAACTCGGATCCAATGGTAAGAATCAATTAAATAGTTCCTTTCCATGGAAAAGTCCGAGCAGCAGCAGCAGCGTGTCCCTGTATATTTCTTGATTTATCTTTTACCCAAGCCATAATTGCGTCATAACGAATGCCCTTCTCGCAAAGTAAGGAGTTATCTCCCGTCGATCGTAAATCTTGAAAAAGCATTTCAGTTGCACGTATAACGGACACCGTGTGTTTCAGTACAAACGTTATTACGTTATTCGATAAGATTCTTGATAGAATATATTGATATCTTCGTGTTTTCAAATATATATATAAATATACATTACTCGTCAAAAGTTTACTCTAATAATTTTCTTCAAAAAATCTTAATAAATAGCTCAACGAATACAAAACAAACAATTGTATCCTAATTAACACAGAGTTATTCGATTAATAGACATTATTCTACCGCACGTTTATTAACTGACAACCTAAAAGTAAAATCTACCTAACAAAATTATTGTTCAACGATTCGCGGAATGAATTTTTCTATCGTGACAGATATTTTGGCAACACTTTTACAAATAATATGAAAAATATTCTCTTGCAAATGCACGGAAAAATGTAATTTGCCAAGATGCGTCAGGGGTTGCATCAAATTATGGTTAAAAGTAAAAACAGGGTGGGAGTTTTTGATGAAAGAACAAAAATAGAATATAATATATATATACTACTAATAAAATTTTAATTAATAATTAAATCCAAAAATACGCGTTCGCGTTAGTTTTGAATATTATTATTATTATTTTCTCTGGATTTTACGTAGCTATTCTTAAACTTTTGATCGGTAATGTATTTTATCGCTGATTCAAACTGGACGCTCCCTGCAAAAATATACGAAAGATACATCTTTCCTTTTTCTTCTTTTTTTTTCTTATTTATTTTTTTACGTAAAACGGACGTTGTGGACATACAGCATACAACGTTTTTTTTTTTTTTTTGATAAGATCAACGTTGTCGTCGTTCGTCGTTGTTAGCTTTTATCACGCGCATGATTTCGCTCTTTCCTATATCTTCGGATAAAACGGAATGTTGCGAACGATTTATGATTTATCAAATATCGTAAGATAAGATGATTTCATATATATTTGATATATAAATATACTTTTCTTAAAGTACATTTTTGTCGTATGCGAAAATTAAGATGGCCTTCGTAATTCGATAAAAAAAAAAAAAAAAGAAAAACTCCGGAATAGAAATAATGTAATTTTATCGAACGATTTTAGCTTTGATATAATTGAAAAAAAAAACTAAACTGAACCTGAAAAAATCTGACGAATCCATGTATAATAATACAAAAGTGCATTGAAATTTTGGAGTCGTTTGAGGGAAACGAGAAAAATCGTACAACCGTGTTATTATTAGTTTTTGCAGTAATTAGTAGATCTTTCTTTCTTTCTTTTTTTTTTCTTAAATGAAAGTTGGTAATGTTATTTGTACGATGAATTATATGATTCTACGAGAAGTTGTAATTTCATTCGTCGAAAGTTTCCCGACTAACATTAGTAGTAATACCGTTTAACATAGAATATAATATATACAAGTATATAAAATAAAGTGAACTTATACGTATAGAGAACAGAGAGCAGTGGGTTTGCTTTCAATCGAGCTCGTTCTTTCGTAAGAAACACCTGCGAGTCATTATCCCTCACCTACTACCTTGGCTTTCCCCTGGCACAAGCCAATTCGATTTCTGCACGCGTTAAAAAATACAAATAAAAAAAAAGAAAAAAGAAACAAAAAAAAAAAAAAAGACTAAACATATACTCAGCTTGAATATAAGTATACTCGAGTGAATACGAGTTCTCCAATCTCGTCATGAATGGAATATTGTTTTGATTGACGTTGATATTCCTAAGCGGGATCTATATTATTCACTTTCACTACGATCCCTAATACATATATCGTCAAACTTTTCATTTCATTTGTGAATCTTTGTATAGCCTTTTGAAAAGTCATGTAGGCAATTATTCAAATCAATTTTTTTCATTCGTTATTTGTCACATTCGCAATTTTCAACATTAATTCGTGATTTAAAAATGATTAGAAAATATTTCGGATTAAACGAATATTACTTTAACGCAATAAAATATGCGATAATAATAATAATAATAATAATTGTTACTTACATTATATTTTGTAATATAATCAATTAAATAACATTGCTCACGCGTATGCAAAACAACATTCTAAAGGAAATCTGTGAAACTCGATCGAGTATAATTATCTGGACACTGTGCATATGTAACCTAATTAATTCTAGATATATTTTAACTTTATTTTTGTTTTATCTTTTTTTTTTTTTTAATACACTTCGATATACAACCGTACACATCTGTTGACGTTAAAAATAACAGTTGTTATTCCATCGTATTCATTTTTTTTACGAAGAAACATATAAATTTTTCTGTTGACTTTAGAATCATTTTAAAAAAATATTACATGAAATATTATATCTCGGGATAATTTAACTTTTCATTTAGTCATTTCTAGATAAGATAATTACGTTTTATTTTTCCCTTTTGTTGTTAATTTGCTCCACTTCTTTTTATGGCACTTTTTTTTTTTCTTATTTAATAACATCCTATGAAGTAAAATGATATGTTTTTTGTTTCTGTACTAAATGAATAATAAAATGCATACGATCTTTTCGAATATGTTGGATATGCACGCGGGAGATTTTCCTACAAATGTGAAACCCATAAAAAGGGGGAAGAGTAGTAAATAATAAGATAATAAATAAATCGACACACGAAAACTTTGTCCACTTCCTCCCATAAATTAATAATAATCCAAACTACAGGAGGAAAGAAGAAAAAAGACCGAAAATCCTCATTTAAATACTTTCCCACAAAGTTTCTTAAAAAACAATATATATTTCATCGGAAACATATTTATACAATTATATAAAATGGATTATCATTATTTCTGTTACAGTTGTCTTCTGCGATTATACAGCAACAGGAAGATCATTGCAATTTCTCGAGGAATATATTGCGAAGGAAGTATTACCATGTTTGGGAGATACTCGTTCGTCAACATCAATCTGTAGTTTACAATCCTCATTGTTCAGGTAATTAATAGATCAACCATATTCTCAGTTATCCTTTTCTACTCAACCACCATCACCCCCTACCGTTCCTATTTAATTAATCCAACTACCTCTTCCCATTCTTCAAAATAATGTGTTCGGTCAGTTTTATTTTTAAAAATTTTTCTTTCTATTTCTTCTATTATTTAACTGAATGAGCACCTAACGAACGATCGTGATAACGATCGAGGCCGAAAGAACGCTTATATGCATTCTTAAACGCAAACGTGTGCATCGCCCGCGGCCACCTGCCAGAGTCAGCAATACTATTCTATACACCTGGTTCTCAATTCTACGAATAGTTTTCCTTCGCGTAACAGCTAACGCAATATTGGTGTCCGTATATTTGTTGTCCCCTGATCACTATTAGATTACTATTCGATCACTATTTATTACGAAATCACATACAAACTTAACGTTATTGATTCTCTAATCTTTTAAGAAAACGTCATTTTTACTTTAGAAAAATCCTAGATACCAAAAGAAACGAACGAATTATCTTAGGTATTAAAATAAAATTAGAATAAGAAGAGAGAATGAAAGAAAAATCGTTTTGACCACCATAATCAAACGACCTTTTACAACGTGACCATAAACGGTGAATTCTTTTTGACTTCTCGTACGTTTAAAAAAATGTGTAATGTATTTATAATAATGAGATAAAGTAACAACAACAACAAAAAGTATATTAAAAGAATATACGATAAATTTCTCGAGTCGCGGCAGTTGCCATTTATTTTATAATATATTTGCTTACTTCAGCAAGAAAAAAAAAAGTATAAAGAAATCTAGAATAAGAAAAATTATGTGAGAGAAATAAAGAGAATGATAAGAAATGCGACGACAACAGGGGTGTTCAACTTTTTACGTATCACGTATACGATTTAATTCTAACAATTTTAACAAGGGCTTGCTGTGCAAAAGTTGAACGGCCCTGGACACTGTAAAATAAAATGAAATAATAAAAAGAAAAAGAAAAAAAAGGAAAGTCATATATAAAAATATTAGATTTTTATCATCTGACCGTATTATTATGTCGATCGTAAAGTATAATTCCTTGCTGACATTTCTTGCGTAGAGAGACAGAGAGAGAGAGATTGGTGCTTACGTATTCGGATCAATAATATTCAATCCGCAGTACCAAACCTATACTCGTACGTTTATTCGTTGATTCTTTTAAGCGTAAAAATTATGAAGAGGGTTGACAATTGCAGGAATTTGACAGCTTGTAAAAAATATATTTATTAGATTAATGTTATTTCATTAAAGTGATAAGTATGAAATTTGAATGAAATAAATGTTATAAATAATGATTTTATCCTTAGGCACGAAGCAAGGGACATAGTTAGGCATGCTGTTGGTGCTGGTGACCAGGATGCAGTTTTATTCACGGGTCAAGGTTCGGCCGGTGCCCTTCGCACACTTCTCAGATTACTCGATCTCTCTAAATCCACCGTAGTTTTCGTTGGACCGTTCGAACACCATGACAACTTACAACCATGGCGCGAATATGGTGTCAAGGTAAGGCACTATTCAAATTGGTTATTGAAAATTATGACTATTCGTACGTTTGTTTAATTCTTTTAACATTTTTATTTTCGTTTAATGCGTCTTCATATTTTTTAATACGAACAACCATACGTGGGTGATACGAGACCCTGATAGAAACTCCAAACTGTTATCCCACAAACGCGCGTGGGTGTTTTATTATTATAAGAATATTTATTTTGTAATCTTAAAAGTTAAACATCGATCGAATGCATTTACGTTAGTCAAATAACATTCCTCCTTTGTGAACAAGTCACATACGTGCATGTGAATTAATAATTTATTAATATTATGTATAAATATATATATATAACAGATAGTACGAGTGTCCGAAACAAGAGAAGGATTTTTGGATCTGAATGAACTTGAACGAGGTTTAGCTAAGATGCGTTCAGAAGGTGTTGCACAAATGATCGGATGCTTTAGTGCAGCCAGTTGTATAACTGGGGTTTTGGCAGATGACGTTGCTACTACCCTTCTTTTACATCAGTATGGTGCACTTAGTATCTGGGATTACACAACTGCAGGTAAAAATTGTCACGAGTTTCTCCTTAAAAACATTTGTCAATTTTATTTATTCGAATAAAATGACATATATCGAACAGCGCCGTATACTCAAATCGACATGAATCCACATCTCCCGGGAATGAGCGAATCAACGGCACACAAGGATGCCATTTTCTTTGCTGGACACAAATTCGTAGGGGGCGTCCAATCCCCAGGTGTCCTCGTCAGCAAACAATTCCTCCTAATGGACGAAATAAGAGCCGAAGACATGAGGGACACTCATCGCTACCTGAATAATCCCGAGTTACGTGACGAAAGTGGAACCGCTGGTGTCGTCGAAAGTATTCGATGTGGATTGGCAATTCAACTTAAGGAAAACGTGACGCCAAGGGCTATCGTCAATCGTCAAGACAAAATTTCTAGGTATGAACACGCATGCCCGCCCGCCCGCTAGGACAATTAATAAATGAAATATCAATGAATCGATTGAAATTGTTGATTTATTTTAGGCAAGTTTTGGCACACGTACGCACAATTCCGGAATTAATTTTACTCGGAAGCGCATCGCAAAATGTCAAAAGGTTACCCATATTCTCTTTTATGGTGCGCCATCCACGTGGCACCTTCCTCCATCATAATTTCGTGTGCGCCGTGTTGAACGACGTTTTTGGAATACAAGCGAGAAGTGGGTGCGCTTGCGTTGGTCGATACGCTCACAATTTGATGGGAATCGATACGGAACTGGCAAAGGAATATGAAAATTTATTGATGCAAAGGTAATTTGACTCGACCAAACAAAGAAATTCTTTTCGTGTTAGATTGATAATATTATTAATTCAAAATATGTTATTATATTTTTTTTGTAATTTTTCAGTCAACGTAACGAGGGAAGCGAGGAATTTAAAACGGAAGCATTGAGGCCAGGATTTGCTAAACTTTCCTTCCCCTATTTCATGTCCGAGGCTGAGGTTGCATTCATATTGGAAGCTTTAAAAATGGTGGCTACCGAGGGATGGAAACTTTTACCCCAATACGTTTTAAATCCAAATACTGGTGAATGGAGACATCACACAAATGGTATATTAAAAGAAAGAAAATTATTGGGAACGATCAGATACACGGACGGTAAAATGAACGCATCCGAAAGGAGAGTATCGGGATCGGGTGTTTTTCCTCAAAGCTATTCGGATTGTTTACAAACCGCAAGAAATATCTTCAATCGTGCGCGTAAAATGGCGCAAAGATATCCGCTGCAAACTGATCGCATTTTTACATTCATCTCGGAACAAACCGAACAATTACGTTGGTTTATGTTACCGAACGAAGCTCAAGATCTACTTTTAGGAAATTCGCAAAACGTTAAACAAGAAGTACCGTTCAATCCGTGTTTAGCCGCTCATAGATTCGTTCATACGACAACGGCAACGAGTACGCACGATAGTCTCGTTAACAGTTTGGCATTGGCCAACGGTATGAGACGTTTGAACAGTGATATTCCACGAACCGGTAATATTCCTATATCGCAAAATTCACCGCGACACCGAAGTCTTCCAGCATTGAGTACGATAAGGAGGAACATTTCAACGGTGTCAGTGTCGTCAACGGCAACGGAAACGAAAAGTAATTCTTCGGAAATCGATGATAAAGGATCGTCGATACGAAACGATAGCGGGAATTCAACGGGACACAAATCACCGGCAACTTGTCCGAGTTCACCGATGCCAGTTCGATTTGCTGTCGGTGAAGCTGTAACACCGTCAGCCCTTTCCTGTATAACTCATGCAGTGGTAACAGCTAGACCAATGAAAGAACAAAGAGATTTGATAGAAACTAGAGACGCTGGACGTGCGAGATGCAATTCTTTGGGTAGCACAACGGGGACTAACAACGCGACCAATCGATCCGGTATGTCATCCTCCTCTTCGCCAATACCGGTCCTCCCATTGAGTCCTCAAACTCTGACGAGTTTAGGTTTGACTTCAGCTCGTTTAGACATCGGTTCGTCGAAACAAAGACGATTACATTGCAGTTGCAGTAGTCAAACCGAATTGAATTCTCTCGAATTAGAAGCTATGAGTAATCTCAGCCATTCTATTTCATCTTTCAATTATCACAACGTCGCCTCGCCCCCGTCCTCGTATTCCTCGGTAGGCGAATACACGGAAAGATTCGTTGCCGGTGGAAGATCTTCCCCGATTTATTCAAACGTCGGTCAAAGATCCGACGACGATTTGAGCGCATATTTGAAAGAAGTCACGAAAGAATTGGCAACCGAGATCAAATCCGAAATTCGCGAAGTTATATCGAAAGTAGACGACGCTTTATCGGAAGCTAACACATCGGAGAATACTCCGCAACATCATTCGCGTAATCATAACGTAATTAATCAAATTTCTACCGAGGATAACAGACAATTGAGGCACGATTCATTTACGGCAAGCGACATTGCCGAATATTTGATGGAATTTTCCAAAGAAATGGCGAGCGAAGTTAAATCAGAGATCAGGTGTATGGTTAACGCTGTCGATGGATTACACAGACACTCGCCTGACGCTTCAGCCTCCGATGTTTCTTCGAATGGATGCGAATCCCCGGACAGAGGAAGGATTTCTCTAACGAATACTTCACCCAGAGTCTCGAATTCGCGAAAACACGGGACATCCGAGATATCTGGGAAAATCGGTGAATTGACTCAACAAGAAAGTAAAATGTCGAGCGAATGTTCGTCGGACGAGACAGTTATATTCGTTATGAAACCTACGGAAACCGAAAGAATGATCAATAGCAATCGAAACAAAACCAACGAGGATAACGATGACAACGACGTGGACGAGGACGTTGACGAGGATTCGCAGGAACGCGGTTGTCCCGATGATATTGCTGCTGACGCTAGGAAGATCCTTCCAAAGATTTATTCGGCCGTTAATTCGGTAAGTTCACAGGACAGTGGGATCAACCTTTCGTTTCACGAAAACGACAGCAACAACAAGTCGTCGTCGATAGATTTAACGGAATTGAAACGTAGCAGTAGCGCCGAATCTAATTCAACTAACAGTTATGGTCGAAAATCTAGGACAGCTATGTCTAGCAACGCGATATCCAATTTAGCTGGTAAATCTTCATCGAAACAACTGGTACGTCAGAACGATGATCTCCTGTCCGAGGACGAGGAGGTATCCTTGGATTTGCGGGAAGAGAAAGACGACCACGTTGACATTGAGGGAGGATTTAAATTCGATGGAAAGGACGAGGATAAAAATGTTTCAACGCGCGTTGTCCAATGGCACTCGGCACCGAGAAATATTTGGAAACCAACGGTGGAGGCTATTCAGGAATTCGATATGATCCGAGACAACGACAGGGTTCTTCTATGTCTTTCGATTCTTGGAAAGGATTCTCTGTCCCTCTTGCACACGTTACATCAATACAGGTTACACGCCAGGTCGAAGGGGATCGATTTTGAAATCGGTGCAGCCACCATCGACACCGGCGAATTTAATCGTGTCGAATCGATCAGACACCTCAAAGCTTTGGACGTTCCTTACTTTTACGAAGAATTGATCGTTGATACGACCACGAATGCAGCTACCAACGAAACTCAAAATCAGGAACCACTTTCCAACGAAGCTTGCAGCTTTTGCAACAGATCGATCAGAGCACAGTTGTATACAATCGCGAAACGTCACGGTTACAACGTGCTGGCACTTGGTCAACACTTGGACGATCTAACCGAGGGATTCCTTTCCTCTGTTTTCCACAGTGGCCAATTGAAAACCATGAAAGCTCATTATTATATTCGTCGACAAGATCTTCGCGTTATAAGACCGTTCGTATACGTCAGTGAAAAGGCTCTTAGACAATTCGCTCGTAGCAAACGACTCGTCCCCCACGAATTTAACAAATCGGCTGATCTTTCGGAGGTGAGTTCATTATATTTTTCTTTTCTTTAAAAACAATAAAAATAATATATTTCTATTTTGAAAATATGCATGAATTTGTTATCGTATACGAAAGTACTGTGTCGCAATAAAAAACTATCATTTTTCTATAAAACGCGTCGATAAGAAATTTGTGTTTTAACGAGTATCGTTTGTTTTTCAGAAACAAAAACAGAGCAAAGATATCTTAATCCAACAAGAACGAGCATATCCACGAATCTATTGGTCAGTACGTACGGCACTTCGACCATTAATAATATCCCATGGACAATTGCCAGAATTCGACATGACATGCAGTAATAGTTCGGGAAATATGACTAACAGTCCAAGTAGCAGTAGCGGGGTTAGCAGCATCAGTACTGCTAGCAACAGTAACGCGACAACAAGTACCAACAATAGTTGTAACAATCAACAGAAAAGGTATAGAAGAACTAAAACGAATTCCCTATCATCGACATCGTCGAGTGGGGGTGGTGGGGTTGGTCATCATTTGTCAAATCAACGGTTAAACGATGATAACAACGACGAAACTGACGAGGAACCGGTCCTTTGAGGAGGACTCTCCGCGAGATGGGATTCTAAACGGCGTCCTTCAGTCTCATCTTCGCGTGCACGTAGACGAATATTAGCACCGTCAACCTCGGCCATTTTAATACGAAGAAGACGACAACGTTTTGCCGCCATGACAACCGCGGCCATTGTCCTTCCAAATGAATAAGAATTGTTCGACCATTCAATTCACACAATATCAAATTAAATTAAATTAAATTAAAACTACAAAAAAAAAAAGAAAAAGAGAAAAAAATAATATGTAACGAGAAACAATTCCTACGAGATTGTCCATCACTTTTTCGCTAACATCGATGATGATACTGATACTGATGATGATGATGATGATGATGATGATGATGATGCATACATCTTAGACATTGAAGTTTTGACAAAATTAATTACGAAGACGACTAACAAGATCCATCGAATATTTTTCATTGATTCTCCTACTACCGAACACGTCGGTCTTTTTTTTGTTATATTTTTTTTTTTTGCTAACATAGAATATTCTAATATCTATGTACGTGTATATGTGTGTGTTGACTTTAGCAAAGAAACTTTTTGAAGGAATTAGGAACTCTCCTATATATATATATTGGATTCGAGTGGATTTACATTGGAATGAGCAGCTAATAAGTATAACGAATAAACATTTGTTTTTCAATTGGTATGCAAAATGCTATACCGATTTGTTTATGTGGGTAGAGAAACGATCAACGTTGTTATAATTAACTTGGACTTTTGTCTAAGACGATTCGTGATATTAAACGGACTATAATAATTGTGTTTTAATATCCCCTCATTGAAATCGTCTTCTCTCAAGGATAAATATAACGTTATCGTCGAGTGTGTGAGTGGTGTAGGATTGTTAATTAATGAACTTGTTTTATCGAAACTGCTTCTTTATATGCGCGCATATATGTATGTCGTTAGAAATGAAATGTTAATCGAAGAATTTCATCGGGATAAATTTTGTTGTCAAATTATTAGGATTGATTCTTCTCATCGTATATTAGTATTTAAATGAATAAACCGATTAGGAAAATGGATAAGCGTCGAGATATATTTATAAAATGTGAAATGAAATTGACAAGATGATAAAATGTTTTTCCATTTGTCTTGTAAATGAAAATAAAAAGTAAGGGAGACTGGAGCGAGGGGATAGGAAAGAAAAAAATGTGCCGAATATTCGAAAAAAAACGATCCTTTTCAAGCGGTCAAGAAAATGATCGAATTTTTAATATATTCGATACTTATTAATTATTAAATATATTTAAAGACGAACGCGAGATAAATATTAACGTTTAGATTTTTATTCATGTGTTACACGAAGAATGTATGTGTTTTCAATTGTGTTAATAGATTTTCGAAATACTTATTTATCTTTCTTTATTTTTTCTTTTCTTTTCTTTTCTTTTCTTTTCTTTTTTGTATTATATTCCTTTTGTCATTTTCGAGTCTCACGTGACGCTTTATCCAAATTTCCAAAATTAATTTCGCATTGTTCGCAGCCATGTAGCACGGCATATTGCATGCACGCATAATAAAAATCGCTTAGTGCAACAATCACAGATCAGGATTTAAATGAAGAAACGAATAACAACGCGAAACGTTGTTGTGTGTTGTCTTGTTGTTTGATTGATTAATTAATTAATTAATTGATTAATCGAACGAAAACATGATACACAAGAGAGAAAGCTTTTTTCCTTATCGAGTGATAATAATAGTTGTTCAAGAAAGAAGAGGAAGAGGAAGAAGAAGAAGAAACGGATTTAATTATGGTCATCTTTTTAAATGGACATCATCGTTAATTAATTCATGCTCCTTTATATCCTGTAATCGACAATTAGATCGAAATAAGTAGTTGCGAAATGAAGAATCTTTTGCGGCGTGCGGAGATATGAAATGAAATGGAAATTGTGAAAAAGAAAATGATAGAAAATGATGCAACACAAAAAAAGGAACAAAAAAAAAAAAGAAAAGAAAAGAAATAAAGCGATTAGACGATACGCGACCAAAAAAAAAAACCAACAACAACAATTAATTAATCGATTAATTAATTTTTTAAAGGATATATCCGTGTTACGTTGTAATAAAACGTTTCGTCGTAAAGAAAAAAACATTTCGAACTATTGAACACAATTCTTTTTTCCAACGCGACTTTTCCATATAAATGCATAACGAAAGTAACAAAAAAAAAAAAAAAGAAAAATATTAAAAAGAAATCGCGTACATCGAACGTTTACAATTTCGACAAATATTCCTTCCGTCGTTTTTTCCGTCATTAGAATTATCTTCATTCACACTCGTGCACACGGATAATTCTATACGCGTAAGTCAAAAAACTAAGTTGTAAATACGGTATAAATGTAAAAACAAAAAAAAAGAAACAAACCAAATCTCTTCGATCGTTCGGACGAATTTTTTTTTTACTCCCGACGACGACGACGACGACGACGACGGACGTGATCGTAAAAATAAAAAAAAATAAAAAATAAAAAAAAAAAGGTTTCGTCATTTCTCATTCATTTTCAACGGTGGAAATGAGATATCGATAATATTTTCTATGGTCGCGTATTGGATGCATCGTTTTTATTTTTTTTTTTTTTTGATTGATAATCGTTTTGACCGACGATGAGAGAGAGAGTGTATATGCGTGAGTGTGTGTATGTATGTGTGTGTGTGTGTATGCGATGGATTCAAACCGATCGCATATCACACTTATTAACGTAAACATCCCTATAAATATTAAAATATTTTATGGTGCGTGTGTGCATCGAATTATTCAATTAAAACGCTCTCGTATGTGGGTAACTATGTTTAAAAAATTCAATTGGCATCGGAAGAAGAAGAATAAGAAGAAGAACAAGCAACGTTGAAATATGAAACAAATCGATAATGCTAAGTGAAATTAATAACGCATAAATAATTAATAAGACGTTTTAATTGTTGATATAAAATTCGTCGAATACGAATCAAATCAAATCTGTAATACGAAATAGTGAATGAAAATCGATGCAAGTGTTGATGCATAAATCGATAACATGTTTCAACGTGTATAAGGTTTGGGAGGAAGAAAAAGGAGAAGGTTTTACCATTTTCCTTATATTTATTTTTCTTTTTTTTTCTTTTGTTTTCTTTTTGTTTAACGCCGTATACAAAAATCCATAGGTAAAAGAAAAACGACGGATAGACACCACGGTTGAAATGATTTCTTCTCGACTTATCGTAAATTTTCAACTTCCTTTTCTTTTTTTCTTTTTACATCTCATTCGTTGTAAGATAAAACGAAAGAGAGAGAGAGAGAGAGAGAAAGAAAGAAAGAAAAAAGATCGGCAAGCATTTTTCCGTCCTGCATTTTGTGAAAATTAAATTGAAAAATGACGATAGTTTATTGCGACGAATAAAAAGAAAATAATCTTCGATAAAAGTGATTGCTGCGATATTAGAAAAAAGGAAAAAGAAAAGGAAAAAGAAAAGGAAAAAGAAAAAGAAAAGGAAAAGGAAGAAACTCGAATCTACGAATGGTCGGAAGAGAGAAAAAAAAAAGAAAAAAATCGTAATATGCATTATAAATATCATCGTCGTAAATTTTCTTTTACGTATGAGATTGTGAGAAGAAAAGGAAAAAAAAAAGAAAAATAAGAAAATTATTCGCGATACGGCTAATATATAATATAATTGTATGTTTCGCTGTTATTAGAGAACTCGTAAATCTCGCATTATAGCTCGCATGTAAAACGCACGCAACTCTTTCAAAGAAAAAAAAAAGATAGAAAACAAAGAAACAAACAAAAAAAACAAAACGAGAAGAAGAAATTGCGAATTGTCCATCTTGTCGGAACCAAGTCTTTCCTGTCGGGCGTTGATTTTTTTTCTCAAGAATTCGTTTCGTCTCTGCTTCGCGAATGAGAGACTACTATTGTGTGGGGAACGATTGAGAAGAAAAATTGGGTGGGTGGTCAAAGAAAAATGTCAGATTCGAAAAGTATAACGTGAAGGGAAGGGTTAAAGGATTCGAAATAAATGATGGAAGAAGGATGAACGAATGAAAAGAAAAGTAAAAAGTAAGAGAAATAGTTGGGAGGAGAAGAAGAAGAATATGAAGAAGAAAAAGATACGGGGTGGTTGTGTGCAAGATGAAAGGGAAATTTTGGATCTATATAAAAAAAAATCCTTACGAATAGATATTAATTATATTTTCCGAGAATTACGAGAGGTCATTGTTACTGTAAAGATATGTAAGTTTATTTATCGCTAATAAAAACGAATGTTTAAAGAAAATTTGACGGGGATGATTCGACGATTGCCACCATTAACCGATTAGGTTACCCTCCGACAAATATTTTCCTCTTGTAATGAATTATTTTTTTGTTTCTCTCTTAAATACATAGTAGGTAAGTAACGAGAAAGAAAGAAAAAGAAAAAGAAGAAGAAACAAAATCAATCGTGACCAAGAGTTTGTGTTACCTTATTAATTTATTAATTTGTTCGATTAATTTTTAGCAATAGCATGCGACTTTTATTTATCGTGTTTGAATAAATTTGTAATTAACAAACATCGTATATCGACATACCTCATTATTTAAACGAAGCTGTATGTATGTGATTTCACAAAAGCTAATAATCCAGATAGATTCGATGATGATTGATGATAATGATGATGATGATGATGATTTTCAAATGAATAAGATTTATTTATTTCTTTTCATATAATCGTCGTGTATCGTTTGCGAGAAATATTTTGTCTTCTAGTTTGTTTTAAAGATCCATTTATACTTTAAATCATATCTTTAATTAGTGCAGTGTGTAATCATTTTTTTTTTTTATTTTATTTATTTATTTATATTTTCATTGTTATATATTTAATATAACTTTTGTCGATAGAGAGAATTAAAGTGCAAAGATCGAAGGATTTCATTTTTGTTTATTATGCTCTTTAATCGAGCATGTATCATCGTAATATCGAATTTACATCGATCGGCTTATCTAATTAAAAAGATTGGAATTTATTTTTCATTCCCGAAGAGAGACGATATTTAAAAAGAGATGTTATTAATTGGCCAAACATTGAACTCGTTATTTTTTTCTATGTTTTTTTTTCTATCTCTTTTCTTTTATTTTTTTTTATTTTTTTCTTTTTTTTTTTGTTTCATTTACGTATCGAAATTTCACAACAACGAGATTACGAATTGTTTTGCTTTTTTTTTTTTTTATATATATATATTTTTTATTAGTTTTTGGATTCACGGATTCGCGTATTTTTTTTTTGTTCTTGTTTTTCTATTTGCGTTCGAAATCGAATAAAAATTCCAAAAGCAGTGTGTATTTGTATGTTCTCTCGCATGTTTTGTGCATACGTGTGAGTGTGTAATTATTTGTGTTTCTGTTCATGCGCGTGCACGAGATAATACATTAAACCTAGAGATAGCTTAAAATCTATTACAGCTACTTGACACAATCACATTAGTTTTTTTTTCTTCGAGAATAAAATGCAAATATTTTCATTATATTTTTTATAATTTTCTTTTTCTTTTTTTTTTCTTGTTCTCTCACAGTGCGTTGAAAAGTGCCAAAAGAATTTCACTCTCACATCAGAGTTTCTATTCGAAATTTACGTAAATGTTTAATAAACTCGCTTACATACACACGCAATTATTTGTTTAAAAGTATTTAAACGAATCCGATGAAAATTGCCGATACTTTTCTTATTTTCTTTTCATAATAATAATAATAGTAATTGTTATTAACTACTATTCGACATTTCTTCTCATTCGTGTTAATCAGAGAACACGTTTTCATTTGAATCACATAGAAGAATTTTAAATTCCCTATAGTATAGTTTGTTTTTTTGATTTTGATTTTTTTATTCTTTAGCACTTTTGATATAATTTTTCTTCTTTTCGTTCTCATCAAATCGCGCGACGACAAAACACGAAATTGAATATGAGAGATTAAAGCCCATCGAGAATTAAAAGAGAATATTTACAAATGAATAATAATTCATTAATTTTATTTGCGGTGCGAAATTGAAAACTAAAAAAAATAATAGAAAAAAAACTAACGATGGGTCACGCGTTTTCTACGGGTTCGAAATTTAGCAAACTTTTTTGTTTTTTTTAATTGGATAACATTAATTTTGTCATTAGTATAGAAGTCATTGGAAAAAGTAGAAGAGAGAGAAAGAGAGAGCGTGATAGTGTGAGAAATAGTTAAAGAGACAGATATAAATAGAAAATAAGATAGAAGAGAAAAATCGTTAATATGGGAACGATTTGTGATACGTTTTCTTTTCTTTTTTTTTTTGTGGTTTTTTTTCTTATAAAGATCAACCATCATCCTGATCAATCGTGTTGCAATTAATACTCGTTATGTTGGAGATTGTGATTCCTCTTCTTCTTCTTCCTCTTCGTCCTCGTCAATGCCAGGTTCACCAAGAGCATGTACGAATTCTGAAATATATATATATATACCAAATTTATTTTAAATAAGAATATTATTATTCATCTAGAATAAAGAGTAATTAAGTAATAAAGTAATTTTCTAAGTATATTATAGCAATTATATTTGGATTTGTTTGGGGAGAGTTAAATATTTTAAGATAATGATAAAAAAACAAATATTTATATAATTATTTGTATAAATTAATAATAAATATAATATATAATATATGATACATATTAATCACAATATGAATATATAAATATAAAAATGATATTAAATTGAGAAATAAACTCGTTCGATCTAATCGTCGAAATTCAAAAATGAAAATATCATTTGAAATGTTTTGTTTCTTTTTATCACCACCTTAAGTCATTTATATCTACATTTTTGTATTCATGGAAAATCGGTTCTTCAAGAATAGAAAGATCGTTCACACAAGCTCTTTTGTAAAATATATTGGATTTATCATCGTCAAGAGTATTATTCACGACGATAGGGTCTTATTTGAAGGGAAAAGGGCATCGGAAAATCGAAGCTCTTTTTTTATATATATATATATATATATATATAAAAAACCATATATATTCTTTCTTTTCTTTCTCTTATTTTTTCACACGAGTGCATTACAAAGTGAACGTGCTATTGCAAAATGGGGGAAGAAGAAGAAGAAGAAGAAGAAAAAAAGAAAAATAGGTATAAAAAATTTACCATAGAAATCTATCCGACCATCCCCGTCGACGTCAACCTCCTTGATCATATCTTCGACTGAAAAGAAAGAAAGAAAAAAAAAATAAAACAAATGCAAATCAAATGAATTAATTATACAATATTTTGTAGATTTTTCTTTTAGGTATAAAAGTGATTATAATTTGTACGATATATATATATATACAAAATACTCGTACGTTTATTCGAAATTTGTATGGCTGTAAAAAATCAGTTAACTCGTTTATAAAAAAAAAAATAAAAAGAGAGAGAGAGAGAGAAGGGTTCGATTCTGAAAAGTTGTTAATAACGAGCATGCATTTTGTCGGTGGCACGATTTCATGCCGATTAATTGTCGTAATTGGAAAGTGATGTGACAATGCACAGGGTTGAAGGTATAATATAACACCGGACGCTATGTCATTCAATAGGGAAAGCAAAAATCATATTTCACTAATTAAAATTGTCGACCCGTCATACTCAGCTTACGCTAATTCACCCACGATAAAGTGATTCCCGTAACGTTACACATATGATGTTGTTTAATGGAACCAGTTAATCGCTAAACTTATTCATCATCTGCTGTCACGAGTTATTATTAACAAATCAATTATGAATCTTATTATTAATCTCTCGACTGGAATAAAACATTACATTTAATATAATTACTAAGTTTACTCTTAGGGAAGTTGTTTTTTTGGACGGGTTTAATTAAGATGAACACAATATTTATCCGTTGAACGTTTCGTCTCTAT